TCAGAGAGATCAGCTTTCATGAAAAATCCTCTGAGGCATTTCGTATGAAGGACCAATCCTGCCATTACCAAGCATATATTCAGAAATAAATTGCCTAATAAATGAATTACTCCAGCAATAAATAATTTAGCAACATTTTAATTTGCCATTTAATGTAGCAAGTAAAAACATAAAATCTTTACTCAAGATATGATCAAAAGATAATTTCTTTCTTTAACTATTCTAATGTATCCCTGGCATATTATTACGATATGAATTATTTTCTTCACCTTTATATTCCTTCACAAATATATTTACAAAGAATACTTTTTTTTCTTTGATTTTGTTCGTCCTTATAAATCTTAAAAATAGATGTATTCTCTCTCCTAAGATATGACCATGTTATTTTTTTTCTCCAATGGATTTCCTTGAGTCCATTTTCTAGGTTATACGTTGCACATTAAAGAAAGATGAGAGTGTGAATTTGGAATAGAAATTTCAGAAGAGGACAGGCAAAGTATATGCTGCTTTCACTGGTCCTCTACCAACTAGAGTAGTAGGAGCACTGTTGGAAAAATATTCTAATATATTTCAAGATTCCCTATCAAGGGAAGCATAGGGAAGCAAAATCAGAGTGCTGGAGGCAATGTGGCTCGACAGAGGCAAACCACTATCACATTTTCTGGGATTGCCCCAGGCTAAACGGGTATCAGCAACGTGTTAAATAAAGTGTTTAAAACCCAAATTAAATGCAATTTTCAAAATGTACACCTGGGTCAGGTACCAAGTTAGCAAAAAAAGGATATATTTAACTTTTTCAGGTCATTTTAGCCGGCTAGTAGGAAAGCAATTGCAAGAAGGCAACCTGCCCACAAATATATATTACTAATTGTGAAAAAAACAAAGAAGACAGCAGGAAGTAATTGGATCTTGCCACTGTACATTTTTTTGATGACTTATCTCATGAATGAACTTATTCACGTGTGATTTTGACTGTATTTCTTATTTAATGGAAACACCACCATTGGGAAATTGTTGATATTCTGTTAATCCCAAAAAACCCACAAAATTTTATACACATTTGTTGTGGAAGCTGTGCTGTGCAGCTCATAAAGATCAAGAAACAAAAGGATTGGCATACCTGACAATAAATCTAAGAAAAATAAAATAAAATTGCTATTTTACTGGTATGTATGGACATTTTATATATAAAAAATAAAAATAAAAAATTCCCTTCTCACCCTCCACGGGTGGTCTCTCTCTCTCTCTCTCTCTCTCTCTCTCTCTCTCTCATCCTCTGAGCTCGGGTCCTCTACCAGAGGCCTGGGAGCTTGAGGTTCTCCTCCAGTATCTTGGCTGTGCCTAGAACTGCACATTTCTGGACTGAGATGTCTGATGTTCCTGGGATCTGTTTGAGCCACTGCTCCAGTTTGGGGGTGACTGCCCCGAGGGCCCCGATGACCACAGGCACCACTGTGGTCTTCACCTTCCAGGCCTTCTCCTGTTCCTCTCTGAGGCCCTGGTATTTCTCCAGTTTCTCATGCTCCTTTTTCCTGATGTTGTGGTCACTTGGTATTGCTACATCCACCACAACGGCTTCTGTGCTGTCCTTGAGTCCAGCTTTCTCCAGNGCACCACTGTGGTCTTCACCTTCCAGGCCTTCTCCAGTTCCTCTCTGAGGCCCTGGTATTTCTCATGCTCCTTTTTCCTGATGTTGTGGTCACTTGGTATTGCTACATTCACCACAACGACTTTCCTCTGTTCTTTATCCACCACCACAATGTCCGGTTGGTTCGCCATTACCATCTTGTCTGTCTGGATCTGGAAATCTCACAGGATTTTAGCTCAGTCATTCTCCACCACCTTTGGGGGTGTTCCCCACTTTGACCTCTGGACTTCCAGTCCATATTCTGCACAGATGTTCCTGTACACTGTACACTATCTTGCACCCTGCTGTTATGTGCTGGACTGTCTCAGGGGCCTCCTTGCACAACCTACACCTTGGGTATTGTCTGGTGTGGTAGATCTGAGCTTCTATTGCTCTGGTGTTTAGGGCCTGTTCCTGTGCAGCCAGGATGAGTGCCTCTGTGCTGTCCTTGAGTCCAGCTTTCTCCAGCCATTGGTAGGATTTCCTCATATCAGCCACTTCAGTTATTTGTCGGTGGTTCATCCCATGTAGGGGCTTGTCCTCCCATGATGGTACCTCTAGCACCTCATCCTCTGTTCCCCATTGTCTGAGACATTCGCTGAGCACATCGTCCGTTGAGGCTTTGTCCTTGATGTATTTATGGATCTTGGACAGTGGCTCTCACACTCACTAGTCCTCTGCCTCCTTCCTTACGGCTCGTGTACAGTCTCAGGGTGCTGGATTTGGGGTGGAACCTTCCATGCATGGTTAGTAGCTTCCGAGTCTTAACATCCATGGTCTTGGTCTCCTTCTTTGGCCAGCTAATTATTCCTGCATATTATCTGATTACTGGTAAGGCATAGCTGTTTATTGCACGGATCTTGTTCTTGCCATTGTTCTTGGCTTCTCAGGACTTGCCTTATTTGTTGGAGGTATTTGGCTGTGGCTCCTTTCCTTGTAACCTCATTGAGTCTATATATATATGCAGTACAGTATAAAACAATGTAAAGTTACTTTATTAAACATGATGTTGAAAAGCTATTTATAATTTTTAATAATTACTGGTGTAATCTTTATTGGAATTCCAGCTCTTTTAATAACCCTTTAACAATTTACATTTAGTGATGAGCTCCAACGTTTTTATTGGAACTCGTCACCCCAATATTCCACTCCCTCCACAGATTCCCAATCATATGCAAGTCGAGACTCCAAAATGTTCATATAATTTCCAGTCAGAAGAAACAGGCTGGAAAATGAAAGTTAATTTATATCTCGTGTGCTAGGAGTTTGAATAATGTGGAGTCTAATAATAGATGTGGCATCAGATATTTGAGTTCATGCTGGAAAAGATTGCTGTCTATGCATGAAAATTAAGTGCAAATATGCATCTCCAAGTTCCAGGGAATATCTGTTGATGCAGGCTGTAAGGATTTGAGTTTACCACAATAATTTTGGTTTTGATGATCATGTTGAAAACATACTGGTTCTTTTCATGCAAAATGGTGCCTACAGCTACAAAATAACCCTTACACACCCAACAATCTACTTTTAAAAAAATGGGAGTCATAATTTATCAGGCTGCTAGTTTTCCAGTTTAGAAATACAACATTTACCCATAAACAATTGAATTCAAAGACCTGGTATAACATTGTGAAAGAAAGGGCTAAAGGAAGTTGTGTGTAGTTGCAACTCAAAGACTTTTTACAATTGTTGCAACATGAAAAAATATAATTAACTTCAGCCTTCAGAATCTTTGCATGAATTTTGTACTCGGAGGATGTAAGGCTCTGCACAGACAGTTCTTTCACTTTGTCGAATAATTTCATCCAGTAAGGCAAAAAATGTATCCAAACCAATCTTGATTAACAGCAAAAGAGTTAGATTTTTTTTTACCCCCGTGATATTATTTGAGTGTTTTTGTCCAAAACAACATATTATACCTCATTTAGCCAATCCCCATTATCAAAGTCCTTTGTTTCTCTATTGCATTAACACTTGAGGTCTGATATCAAATGAACTGGGTTAGCAGCATAGCACAGTACTGCTTCACATTCCTGTAAGGTCCATCATCCAACCCCAAGGCTTTAGTTTTGTATTGTATTTCCTTTGGTAGGAAAGAGAGATGAGGAGTAGTGAAACCTCTGGTGGTTAGCTATCCGACTGCCGTTCCACCATTCCTTCAGCGAGAGCAGACCGAAAAAGTCGCAACAAGACTCAGACTCATTCCACCAATTGTGCATTACTTCCCTTAAAGGGATCTATGATTGGTGGGACATTTTGGCGAAAATATAATGTAATTTTCCTTTTATCTAAAAAATCGCTGCTTGTGATATGACAAAACTCATGATTACTTCAAAAAATGTATACCATTTGTTATATTTTTCACCCATGGAGGTCGTCATCTGTTGATGACACGTTTTGGTCTGTTCTATACTGGAATCTACAGAGTGACCACAGGAAGGCTAACTTTACCTGAGTTGTTGTTTATCATGTTGTGTTTGGTTTGACTCTAATTTTATATAAGCCACACTGTGTCCGTGTTGGCTGTTATTAAAAAAACAAACAGCGAGTGGTGAGTCTGGTTCACTTTCCATATGAGAAGAAAATTAGAGCACAGTGGGAGAGAGCTGAACACAACTTCCAAAAGTTCTATTTGTGACCTCAACATTTCTCTCCAGAAGACAGATTTGTATGAGCCAAAGTGGAAGGGTCTAACAGGTGATCGTTACCTTAACGATCTAAAAACAAATGCAGTGCCGACCTTTCTTAAGGTGCCTAAACCCCAACAGTGGCTAGCAAGTGAAAAACGCTAGAAGAAATATCAGAGACAGACAGTGCTGGGAGCTCTTTTAAATGTTAAAAGAGCTATTGCTAATGCCGCCGGTACTGAATGTGAAACCACGGACCAACACCGAACCAACAGCTGTCACCGGACCGCACACAGAGCTACAGCCGCTAGAAGCATCAGAGATAGGCAGTGCTGGGAGCTCGTTTAGATGATTGCAGATCTTTTGCTACTGCCACTGGGTAGCACAGACCATCAGGACACATGTACTGAATGTGAAATCACAGACCGACACCGGACATAGACCAGACAGACCAAACAGCTGTTACCAGACCGGACACAGAGCTACAGAACTAGCCGGATCACACAGTCCGACCAGAGGTACACGTCATTCATTGTTTCATTCATGAAGCTGAAGGCAGCAGCAGCAAAACACCAGCTCATGACCAACTCTGTCCTCTTCCTCCATTTGGTTCTCCTCATCTTTGTCATTTTCTGATTTCTACATTTTTTTTTCTTTTTGCATTAAAAAAAGACCATGACTGAAGCTAATTTCTCCTGGAATCCCCAGTAATATTACGGTTAAGAAAACAAGTCATGATAAAAGACTGTTTTAAACATATTTATTTAATATCAGGAGCAAAAATAAATGAACAAATTATATCCATACATATTAATAGCTTAGGGGCAATAGGAACGTTTATGATTTATGTACATCTTCATTTACTATACACTGCATACCAAAAGAAAAAACAAACATTATAGAATGTCATGATACAAGTTGTTCAGCACATGGTAGACAGAAAAAAACAAAAACAGAATATAACTATTGCTGGATGCCTGTAAATAATTTAAATGTTAATTTCATTATAATACAGATGCAACATTTTTTCATCAATGATAATAAAGTGGGTTTATATACAAAGCACAACCAAGATGTAATATATCAGTTTGTTGCTGCTTAAGCTTTTGTTGTTGCTGATTTCTGTTAGATCTTTTTGCTGATTGTTATGTCACTGAACATAGCACCCTAAACAACACATGAAAACCAAAACACCAAGATTCATAAGATTTTATTAATGAATGAAGTCATTACTGTATGACACAAAGTAAGCATGTGAACTCCAGCAGTTTTTAAAAATGACCCTGGAGTTTGTTGTCTTCATCAGGTTTGAACAGGAGTTACAGCAGACTGTAAGCTTCCCATCTAAAGACCCAATCCAAATATGCTCCTGTGTATAACATGGGGAAGAGATGCGACAGACATCTGTTCCCTATGACAACAAAGGGCCCAATGACAGTTACTTTTTAAAATTCTTTTGCATTTAATCACAGATTCTCAGTAACACCCATTCAGCTCAGACGTGTTTCCTCTGCCTGTAAACTCATTCCAAAAATTACTCAGCTTTTACTTTTCTTTTCTTCCAGTGCGAGCTTCCTTTTAAAAGTCATCCATCTTGCCACTCTCCCATAAGAGCAAGGTTTGTGAACTGCATGGCAAACAGTAGACCTGTAAATAAATCATGGATCTCTGCAGCCTGTCCAGAGGTACCTTTGGTCTCTTTTCCTGCTGCTCTGATTAATTCTCAGTGTCCTTTCAGCATAATTAGAAATTATAAATACTAACTCAAGGTCTACTGTAACAGCCGGATAAAACGATTGAAAAGGCAGCATTTGTGGGTTTAGCTGTTGATGCTTGATGTTAAATAGTATCAATATCCTCAATTATTTTTCAGTATGATGACAATACATTAGATCAAAGTGACGTTTGTGGTTGTAGCATGAAAAATTGTGCTGAAGTTTAAAAAGCATGAATGCAGTTGCAAGGTACTGCATTTGGTTTGACTCGGGGTGAATAACGACAAACTCACAGAGATAAACTCACTTCTTAAGGCTGAGTTCTTGTTGTTGTGTTGTTTGCATTGAAAGAAATATGATCCTGTAATCTTGGGAAACATTTCACCAGCAGCTGTTTGAAATGGTTCTGAAATTTTTTTCCTACAAATGTATAAAACATTGGACTGATGCAGAAGTAAATGTAAGCCATGTTGCGGGTGACATGAAGAGCGTAACCGAGTTTCTTTTTACCTTCACAGCTCAAAACAGACTCTAATTTATAATGCAGGAGTTCTACAATGTTAAAAGGGATCCAGCAGATGAAGAACAACACTACGATCATAAATATCATCCTGACTGCATGGAATTTAGAACCTGATTGCGATTTTTTAATGGTGACCACAATCCTAACATAACAAAATATGATAATAGCCAGAGGTAGGATCAAAAAGACAAAAAGCTGAATATGAAATCGAAATTTCTTGAGTTTCTCTACATTCATATCAGGAATGTAAGCAAATTCCTCACAGTGAATTTTGCCTATTTTGTCTTTGTCTTTCTTCTCATAGACACCATGAAGGATCATTGGCTGGACACAAGCCAAACCACTGATCACCCACACCACTGCACAAGATATGATAGCATTGCGTCGACTCCTTACATGTACTACTGGCATAAAATGTACAAAAGCAAGGTAACGGTCAAATGTTAGCAGAGTTATAAAGAAAACAGAACTGTAAAAACCCAGGTAGTAGGCACTGAAGACGATCTTGCACATAGCTGAGCCAAAAATCCAGTCAGACATCTGCATGTAGGCGGCCACAATGGGAAGGCTGCTCATTAAGATCAGGGAGGACGCCACCAGGTTGACCAGCAAGATGTTGATCACAGTGTACAGCTTCTCAAACCTGGAGGGAAGATGGTAAGGTGTTATTTTGGCGTAAGCATAAATTTGCCAATAGTCGGAGCACAAATTATTATCAGTGGGTTTAATTTTACACAGGTCTGAAGTACATTTGACAAAAGACTTATGTGAAAGTTGGCCAGAAATTTAAATTAAGTTATGGATTGTTTGGAACTCACAATTTTAGATATGATACATGAATAAAAGTTATTCTTTATTCCTTCTTGTCAAACATTTTGAGACAAATTATGCAAATTTTCACCCATTGCTACAACCATAGCACAGACTTCCTGAAGTTAAATTGTTCCAAACCCCAGGAAAATTGAAGATGCAAGCAGCATTGGGCAGCTCAGTGCCACTCCAGTCATGTGGTGACTGCGAAAGCTCCGTACCTCAAGGACTCTCAGACCAGGAGAAACAAGATTCTCCAGCCCGATGAGACAAAGATTGGACTCTTTGTTGTGAAGGCCAGGCGACATGTTTGGAGGTAACCAAGCCAATGTCATCTAAATGTATGCAGCAATGTCCAGAGACATCTTGGATGGAAAGTTGCTCCAAAGCATCTTGATCAAAGACTGGAGCTACAGTTCATTTAACAGTCAGACAACAACCCAAAGCACATGGCCAAATATGAAAGGTTTTTCAGAACCACTTAATTTGATTGAACATCTTTGGAGAGATCTGAAAATGGCTGAGTGACATATCCATCCAGCCTGATGGAGCTGGAGAAGAACTGCAAAGAAGAATGGGTCAAACTGTTGAATGACAGGAGAGGAAAGCTGAAGGCATCATGTTCAAAAGACCAGAGGCTGGAATTGCTTTGAAGGTGGGTCAACAAAGTATTAAGCAAAGGCTGTCTATACTTATGTAAATATTTTGTCTGATTTGAAGAAGGTGGGGGGGGAGGGGCAACTTCACTCAGCTATGTAAATGTGATGTCTTGGTTTTCTATTTTTAATACAGATGCAAAACACTCCAAAAAATTCCAATGGGTATGTATGTGTAGATTTTTGGGGAAATAAATGAATTTAATACAACTTGGAATAAGGTTGTAACATAACATTAGAAAAAGTGAAGTGCTGTGAATACTTTACAGTGGCCTGTAAATTTTCTCATATAAATTTTGTCTACATCAAACAGCAAAAAGCAAATATAGTAATTTGATCAACATCCAAAGAGTTAAAGTATTTTAATACTATTGCTGTCAATCACAATTAATCATTATACCTAACTTTGTAAGTTTGAAATACACGAAACTGAAGTTGGTTTCCAATTCCAGCTTCCAATAGCTAAAGGGTGATTCCACTTAATTTTTCACTACTTTCCGCATCTTTAATCAACTCTAGTTTAAAAACTGCTGAAAACTCAATAAAGTTAGATTTTCACCATTTTTGGCACCTCTTTCATTACTACAACTGCTCTAATTAAAAAACTAGAAATCCTAGACTCTTCAGACCTGAAATAGATTATTCTGCTCTAAAAGCAGAATATTTAAAACCATTTTAGTGATTTGTGAAAACTCAATAAAGTTAGATTTTCACCATTTTTGGCACCTCTTTCATTACTACAACTGCTCTAATTAAAAAACTAGAAATCCTAGACTCTTCAGACCTGAAAT